GTTCCGCGAAAAGTCGGCTTATGGCCGATCCAGGAGAAGCTCGGGCCCAGTGTCGGCTGAGTGACGACCCGGCGCTGGGCCGTGACGCCTCGGTCGGAGGTGAGCTCCGCTCCCCCCCCCCCCCTCCCTGCAGAGAACGGCACGGACTGCAGGGATCGGGGAGATCTTATCATTAGATCCTATCCACCTGATGGGATGTAGATCGGATTGGAAAAAGACGTTCAGTTTGCGGATTTGTATTTCCAGTTGCACAGCATCATTTCTTTTAATGACTGACCATAACTATATGATGCGTTGAACTAGACGGGGAAGTTTCTTATTCTGGTTTTAATAGGCCTTCGCTTATTATTGATTTGATCCGATTGGATGAGCATTGGAACAACATCAGGAATTTGGATCGGATCTTCTGAATCGCACCTGGCCGTATACTGAATGGATCGGATTGAACGCAATGTATTAATTTTCGTCCTCTGGCGGCCGGTCTCCGTATCACAGCTATTGACACCCACCCGTCAGATAAGATCACAGGAACGGGCGGCTAGGCAACGCGGGATGTTCCATCAGAGGCCTCACAACCGCTGCCGCGTCAGCCCACGGCGACGAAAGCAGCTCGCATTAAGGCAGTTAGCGAACGGGTGTTTTCTATAGAACTCCGATCAGAGCTCGTCGCCTTCGGGTGCACTGAAAAGGTTGCCAGTGATTCTTATGACAAACGGTATGTGTTGACCATAAAAGATAACTCTCCTGTGAAATAGTTAACATTTTCGGACCTTTAGTAGCTTGTGACCAGATGATTTCCAGGGATGAGTTAAACCCGAACGGCGCAACGGGTTCATTCCACATTACATGAGTTGTTGAGCGCATTTGCGAGGAACATTATGCAGGTTGATAAGACAGCAATGTTCGCCGTATTCCTCAAAGAATAACTAGGAGAAAGGAGAGATAGATGCATTGGTATGTAGGCTACATGCCTTTATCGAAACAAATATGAGTAGTCACTTCAAAATTGCCTGCCGATCCCACTCGATATTGCAGTTTTTTAAGTAGCGTGTCGCAGTTTATACAAGTTACCAACGTTCAGGGAAATAAACAAGATGCAATCGCCAGGCACTTTTTAAACACAGTGTATATTCAAGTAATGATTAGCATACACGAAAAATGCGTGTACATGCAAGCAGGCTGAAGTAAGTAGGTGTCAGGCATCACGCATCATTCATAAACGCGAGCGACTTCGAATAAACAGGCATCATGCATCGCGCGTCATTATCCACGCAGACGACTTTAATTATACAGGCATTGCGTATCACAGGTTAGGCATCACTCATGCTTTTAAACAACTTCAAGCTAGCACGCATCACACATTGAGGCACTAATCACATTCATATAATTGGCCAAGATGAGGCCTGTACCTCACGTAATTTCTTAACCCTCGTCCTAAAGGGGGGGGGGGGGGTCGATGCGACCCCCGTGGGCTCCTTGAGGATACCACTCCGGAATGTGATGCAACCACGCCCAAGTTTTCAGTAGGCACGAGACGTCCATTGCGCGTGTTTTTGACACAAAAATGTGGTTTCGGAGCAGCAGTGGTTTTTGAGAAACACTACACGGCGAGCTACGACCGGCAAAGGTGGTGGGCGTTAAACAACGACGTCACGGGACGTGCGTGGGGACCGGTTGTCCCTCCGCATGACTGACAGTGAATTGATTGTCACTTTCTTGCTGTATGTTTTAGGATTAATATTACTGCTTAGAAGGGTGTAAAGAAACTGGGACACCTGCTACAATACCTGTTTCCGAAACGCCTTAGGCGTAGATTGATCCACTCGGCATTCGTTCACCCCTCCTTCAACGAAGCCGATTTTACCTGCCTTCGTCAGTAAGCAAACGTACTGCACATCTGCAAACGTGCGCACTTGTCTTGTGCGAGCTACATACCCACATCTGTCGTAGGCGTTTAGTGTAACATGGTGTAAGAAAAAAAGTCGGCGTTCATGGTACAGAAAAAAAGTAGACGTTCCGTATGTTACGGGCTTCTCATGCAGCTTCCGTAAAAGTATCATTAGTATGCTATCTGCCAGAAATTTTAGTCGCAATTCCAAATGTCGACCAGGTTGTGGGTGCGTATTACAATTGCCATTATCATCTCATTTCCTTGAGGAATATTTGCATATCCATTTATATATAAATATATCTACAGTTTTGTGTTAAAAAACACAGTGGACTCAGCTTTGGTGATCTTTTAGGCATTATCTCGACCAATCTGATGACATCTTTAACTCCCTGTCAATGCTCGTTTAAAATCGCACCGAAGGTCACGATAAAAAGAAGATATAGATTGTCATGCTGCGTAACCTGTTATTAGTTATATTCCTTAACGTTGCACCCGCCATCGGATAAAAACGGTGAAGAATATAATGGCAAGCTCAAACGACGGGGAAACGTTCACTGAGACTGATGACCATTAAACCATAAGACAATTAGGCCATGGATTATTAACGAGAAGGTATTTTGTGCTATAGGTAACTTCCGGTTAAGTTTTTTCAATCCTTTGAACGCTACTTTTTCCGTCGTTCTTTAGATTATTTAGTAGCTCATCAAGATACAAGCGTCATCATCTGATATATTCGTTGTTCAACGTGTCGGATACATTGCGTGCCTTTTCTCAAAAACAAAAGCAAGTCCTTCATCACATGTAGCCAGCTCACGCAGTAAAAATCAGAGCATAAAATACAAGCATACAAGCAACAAGGAACTTCTCATGGGATAACACTCACTGCCGTTTTGGCCGGTCAGAGTGCTTCACATTTGTATGGTGTTTTAAACTGAAATAACCACCTTGAAGATATTCGGCGCATTTCAAAGCCCTGCCCTTCTAATTCCTAAACCCCTCTAATGTCTGAGCTACCTGCCCGTCAAGATAGGGAAACTTTCGTGGAGAGTATTTCAAGGTTACCTTGGCATTCATGACGTCATGATAGCGTTATTCAAATTCCGTCATTCCATAATCCATGCGGCGGTCAAGGTCAACCAAATATAATTGTTGAGACGTTCATACCTGGCATTCGTGAGCGCGATTTCCCAATAGAGCGACCGTCTATTGGATCTCACTGAATGTTGTACAATGTACGATGACGCAATGAATTAAGACGTATTGAGCAACATTGTTGCCAAAAAGATCAATTTCGTTGTCTAGAACAGTTCTTTCCGCTTGGAAATATACCAATAGTAATAAATGGGCTTATTTCACCATATCTGGTGCTTGCTTTGATATCTTCAAACGTGGAACATTGCTTTTAAGGCACACTGATTCATCAAATCAACAGAATCTGTCACTTGGAGCGTGCTGTTCCTCTCCACTCATTCGACTAGGTCTTTCATAAGTGGGGAAAGTGCGTGTGGCATATGGACATTTTGGTGCGGTTACTGGTGAAAAAAACGCTTCTATCGATTGGTGAGATTTGCATAAATCTGTTAGCGTTATTACACCACAAAATATGAAGATTGCCCAGATGTTGGAAACACTACTAGCAGTTGTGCATGACTATGAACTACAGGAGCAAAACATTTGCAAACGATCCCCTCAGCCGACCTCTCTGACACCGCCCTGGCTGCGCTTCTGCCTGATAATGTGTAAAGGCAGCATCCAAGTCTGTCATTACCTGGCTCGGGCCATGCCCTGCAAAGTGACCTTCTTGCTTGAATATATGACTGGTCACGTTTGGAAGTCCGTTCCGAGGCCAGATGGTATGGCCATCCCACGAAAGTTGCATGAGTCAGCTCCCACATGTTTAATGAACGGCCGCTTCAGAAACGATGATCATCCATAATGGTATCATTCGTAAACCATATGTGCCGACTTCCAAAGACCACATGTTTACTCACTGACGCTGCTTTCTTGCACCAAATCGAGTTCACAACGCCAATGCCAAAGAGCTGATTAACTAAGCCAACTTTACCACACTCCTCCGTGGCTGCATGCATCCATAAGCACCCGTATTTAGCTCCTGCTCCCCTCACACAGACCCGGCTGGTCCTGTCCTCCGTGACTGCACACAATCATAAGCAGCTGTAGTTAGCTCCTGCTCCTTTCACGCGGGCCCGGCTGGTCCTGTCCTCCGTGACTGCACACAATCATAAGCAGCTGTAGTTAGCTCCTGCTCCTTTCACGCGGGCCCGGCTGGTCCTGTCCTCCGTGACTGCACACGTTCATAAGCACCCGTATTTAGCTCCTGCTCCTCTCACACGGGCCCGGCCGGTCCTGTCCTCTGTGACTGCACACAATCATAAGCAGCTGTATTTAGCTCCTGCTCCTTTCACACGGGCCCGGCTGGTCCTGCGCACTGAAGGCAGAGCGCAGGAGTCGACGGGCTGCACAGGCCTGCTCTGACGATAAGGCGGTGTTTTTCTCCGCTCCGCATCCCGCCTTTTCTAACGCGCTGGTCTGACACAGGCAGTTGATGAGCTCATCACAGAAGATGCAGTTGACATTCACTGCCCTGAGTAGGTCTTCAAGCACCGTCACTCTGTAGATACTGCAAATTGTGTCTCTCAGTTTATTTTAAGACGTTTCTGAGCCACATGCTTTCATTAGAAGACTGGGAATAAGCCACGTTGAGATATTTTAAGGCATAAAACAACGGTGAAATGATGTAGTCCTCTGCAAAGTTAGCAGCACGTTTGCATTACCTTGCATTGCGTTTGCCTGCGGCTCTAACGGGCGGGCTTCTGCTTTTATGAACCCCACGCTATATTGAATTTCCTTCAACGAGATTTAACGTGGGAAATAGATCCTCAAAATATCACTCATCTGGCTAGCTTTTTTTGCCACTAGAGGTACCTGGCCTGCAGGTAATGGTTCCGTATCTACCACTCGAGGTCGCTGGTCTGCAGGTGGGGGTCCGCGCCATACAGTTAACGAATGCTGTGCGCAGCCCTTCTCCGCGTGCCACAGCGGCGCTCCCGCCAACCGGCGCCTGACACCGCCTCTGTCCGTGTTTCAGCTAACGCAGCATGACCGGCCTGCTGAGCTCGCCGGTGCCGCCGCCCGCCAACGGCACGCTGAACGCCACGGCCGCCAAGACCGCCTACCTGCTCGCCGTGCATGAGGAGTCGCGTGTTTACGCCGTCGTCTACGTCTGCGTCGTGCTCTTGTGCTACACGGTCAGCATGTCGGTGCTGCTGACGCGACACTTTCGGCGCGCCGAGAACCAGCCCCGCCTGGCCGTACTCTACCAGGCCATCATCAACAGGACAGCGTCGCTGCGCAGGCGCCGTACCGACGACGCCGCGCCGCGCGCAGCCCCCCAGGTGGTGGTCCATGAACCCGAACTGTCGCCGTCACCGTCGGGCGGCGCTAGTAGGCCGGCGCCCGCCGAGCGCCGCTGGAACGGCTGTGCGCCACCAACAAGCGTGGACGAGATAACGAAGGAGCCGGCGGGCGGCGACAGCTCCCCGGCAAGGACATGCGGACGAGTGTATATGGAAACCGACTTTTGATCAGACCTGTGTCAGGCATCAGGCATCAGGCATCGACATTCCATCCGCGTGCACTATTACACGAAGGGATACCCGTGCATGTCCATACAGAAGTGTGCGTTGATATGTTTGTGGGGTCAGGGAAATTTGATAGCTGTATGCATACATCAGAGTATGCTTATTGACAGGGTACATGGTCCATGTGCTGCAGCAAATATCACCGTTGCGCAATGCACCTATATGCGCGCAGATTTTTGACAGATGTCGTGATTGGACGAGCCATCGGCTCCTGATCGTTCGGTGTTTTGAACACACACCCTTTTGGGATCCCTTGTAATGATCCGTGATAGAGTCCTTGATCGAATGTGTACGCTGTCTTGACGAATATTGACGAGCGTGTGAGAAATGGGTGTACTTATTTGGTCCAAATAAAACACATCGTCCGCACGTAGTCGTTAGGTCGCCGCATATTTGAGAGGCTCAGGGCGATACGCCATCATCTGGGAACATCTGGCCATGGCGGCGGCAGTTTGCGGCGTTATATTGCACAGAAAATGCGGCGAGTTCATGGAGCGAGCAGCACTGGCCCGGCGGTTCTGAATGAGGCCCGAGCCGTTGGAACGGCAGGCGGCCGCCATTGTGACGAACTTGGCTGCCACAGCTCATCAGAGGCCATCGCTAACTAACCAAGCTTTGCTTTTGGTCCCGGTGAGCAAGAGGGTAGATTCTCAGTGAAGCTCGCGTAAATCCCGACCGCTCTGTTGCCCTACGTATTCTCTTTTTGTCACTACATCACAAGCGCTGTATTCCGCGGACGCTCCGGAGCCCTGTGCTGGCGTTTGATATCGCTCTCACTAAGCACAGCTGTCACGGCAGAATTGCTTGATGGCAGCGCTGCGCTGTAAAAAAGAGAACCTGAGAATGCCTCGCTTGTAGCTTAGCCCTTATGAAAGCTGTGGGCCTTTATTTTAGCAGGATGACTGTGTGAGACCAGGCCTACAGTTGCAAGGTGAACCTCAGCCAAGGGATATCAGCACCTCCCGTATCAATTCATCCCATGCAGGGGAATGCGCGATCTGTTCATGTCATTGCGGCTGAACACGCCACATTTTAGCTGCGGTGACCTAAGCGTGTCCACCAAATGTCCAGAAGAAGGCTGCCTCGGTCCGCGAGTCTCTGCTTCAGGTCTGGTCGCGGGTACACTGATACAGAGGGAGGTGCCATCGGGCCCTGGAGCGGGTCAGACGCCAGGGCTCTGGACCGGTGCGGCTGACCCACCAGCCTCGCCAGGTCCCAGGCGTGCCACGCGGGCGCTTTAGTAGAAAAGCTCGCAAACTTTCTGTCCTATCGCTGGCACCGCCTGCTAAGCCGATCCATTTTTCAGCCCGGATCACCCTTTTACGGCGGCCGCGGCTCCAATTGGTTTGCATCAGCGATGCAGAAAATCACGGGGTATATTTGGCTACTGCCGGCTTCAGTTGAAGAAGTCAGTTTTTAGGCATTGGCGGAAATCGGACAGCAAATAGTACGAACAGCGACGAGATGCCGAGACTGGTTACTGCGTGACCATAACGGAGCCTTGCCGGTGAGTACTTGGCCTCCAGAGCAGAGCGCAGCACAATCCGGCACACAAATATAAATCATTAAAAGAAATAATCCACATTTGATATCAAAGCATTAGATATGACAAAACAAGCTCGCTTATGATAACTGGATGCTTTTAAGTGGGAGACTGCTCTAGACATTTCTCTATTAAAAAATATGCTCCTCAATACGCCCGTATTTGATTGCGTCAAGGAACATTTTGTGACAGCCTAGGCTAGACGTGTTCGCTGAACCAAATTTTGTTATGTGGTCGTATTTTCGCTCTTTGTTGTGATGTTCGATTGCAAGTCGATTCCATAATAACAAGAAAGAATGTACAAGGATCTCCGGATGGCATTGAAATAGCCTGCACGAAAAAGGCTGCACATCTTTGCGGGCGCGCAGGTCAGAAACTGGAGGGTTTTAGGTCTGGAGGGTTGGAAACTGGAGGGTTTTAGAAATGCAGGGCTGTGAAGTACACCGAATGATCTCCAAGATGGCTCGTTCAGTTCAAAACGCATACAAATGTGGAACACCCCCTTTAATGTAGGTCGGCAGCTTGGGTCCCTACACTAAGCTGAGGTGGCACCAACTAGGATGTCGATATTGTCTGTTTTTAAAGGAGCTTTGCTGTTGAAAAAAGCTGTTGACGTTAGCGGAACAATGACGTAAGCACCATTAAAGGGAGTGCTCCACATTTGTATGAGGTTTTGAACTGAAGTGGTAATCTCGAAGGTCATCTGATGCAGTTCACAGCCCTGCCCTTCCTAAGACCCCAAAACCTCTAGTTTCTGAGCTAAACGCCCGCGAAAATGTGCAGACTACATCAAGGTCATTCAGACATGCATGGCGCGATAAAAGCGTCATTCAAATTCTGGCATCCCATTGGCCATGCGGCATTCAAGGCCAATAAGAAAATAATCGTCGAGTTGTCCGCACTCTGCGTTCGTGAGCACGATTTCCAGACATAGCAGACGTCAACTGGCTCTAAATCAATGTTGTTCAGACCGTCCGTGATTCAAACACGCATCACGTTTTTGGCACTGATAAAAGTTAGAAAGTGCTTGCTTGTTATAACAGAAATAATCGTGTAACCGAATAACCTGATGAGCCATATTACGGAGTATGTGAATACAAGTTAACATCTTGAACTCACAGGTGCAAGATCACGAAAAGGGCCAAAACACGGACAGAGATTAAATCATTAGACATTTGTCCTCCGTGCTGGGGCAGCAATTCCACACACCTAGTTTGGAAACGCTTTAAGGTCAACTAAGCCTTCCGTGATGCCTTAAAGGAGCATATTTGCTAAAGCAAAATTGCACCAGTCAAAGCAGTGTTTTCCATTTACAATTATACTGACAGCTATAAGTGAGCTTATTTCATTATATCTGATGCTTGATTCAATATCTTCAAATGCGAACCATTCAGTTTAAGACACCGGTTTTGATACCTTTTCACTGTGAATCTAGGAGACGAAAATATCACCTCTGCGCAATATATCTTTTCTCTTTATATCACATGAAAAACGACTAAAAACACAGGGTCTTAATGTTCCAGCTTCCGAGCTTCAAGCATGACTTAAAAAGGCATCACATAATACGTGTTTTTCTTCACGAGTTTTACACCAAACCCACCCACGCGTTACCGAACATATCTTCGTATGGTGAAAACGTTATTATCATTTTTTAACCGTTTTTTCAGACTTAAAAACTCCCGAAGTCATATGTTGCCGCTTTCCAGCTCGTGTCTCCCGTAAAGCTGAATGAAGACCCATGTAAAGACCCATGTAAACGCAGACTGCACAAGACTGTAGCAACGCTAAGAGCTTGCCCCTGGCCACATCAAACATATGGAACGAGTTGATATGACATGCGGCAACGTTCTGCACATTATACACGGTTTGTGGACATTGTCAATCCCCCATCCCTACGGTGGTGGATGGCTGCTGTGTGTAGTGGAATAATTGTGTGTGTGGTGTGTGTGTGTGTGTGTGTGTGTGTGTGTGTGTGTGTGGTGTGTGTGTGTGTGTGTGTGCTGTGTGTGTGTGTGTGTGCGTGCGGTGTGTGCGTGCGTGATGTGCGTGCGTGCGTGCGTGCGTGCGTGCGTGCGTGCGTGCGTTGGTGTGTGTGTGTGTGTGTGTGTGGTGTGTGTGTGTGTGTGTGTGTGTTGGTGTGTGTGTGTTGTGTGTGTGTGTGTGTGTGTGTGTGGTGTGTGTGTGTGTGTGTGTGTGTGTGTGTGTGTGTGTGTGTGTGTGTGTGTGTGTGTGTGTGTGTGTGTGTGTGGTGTGTGTGTGTGTGTGTGTGTGTGTGTGTGGTGTGTGTGTGTGTGTGTGTGTGTGTGTGGTGGTGTGGTGTGTGTGTGTGTGTGTGTGTGTGTGTGGTGGTGTGTGTGTGTGTGTGTGTGTGTGTGTGTGTGTGTGTGTGTGTGTGTGTGTGTGTGTGTGTGTGTGTGTGTGTGTGTGTTACGACGCACTCAACTGCTGAGGCTATGTGGCGTCGCTTGCCTCTCACCCTGGCAGGAAAAGCGGGCACAGGGTGAATGGAACCACATACCTCTGGTTTCCCAGACGCGCAGTGGTTAGCGCAGACGCGTTAACCACTACACTACCGGCACCCGGATGGCTAAATAATTAACCTGGAGTAAGCGTTACCTCCTCCCACGCTGGCGCACACCTAATGACCCAGTTGACACGTCACACGGCCCACCCACCAAGCTCCGGTGCTCCAGTCAGGCACAGCCATCGCCCTCTGCGCCGCACAGCCACCACCAAGCAAACACACGGGCTTCAATCGGTATATATTTGCTCAACTAACGACGTAAGCGGCGCCGGCCACAGATCATGAACGGCACCATTCCAGGTAAGAGCGCTACAGATAGAAGTCCCGTGCCCAAAGCAGTGACGCGGTCAGCAGCGCAGCGTCGCCCGCGCGCCAGCGCGAGCGGCCGGTGCGATGGCGGGCCGGCGCCTCTAGCCGACGGCCGAGGCCACCACCTCGGAGACGGCCGGGTCGGTCGAGCGCACCGTCAGCTGCATGGTCACGCCGTCGGAGAGCGCCAGCCGGGCGCGGACCAGCACCTCGGCGCCGCCCCGGTACACGCCTGCGGCCAGCCGACCGGCAGAACGGTGGTCAGTAACTGGGCACGGTGAGCCACACGGGTGACTTAGGTGGCGGTAGCTGGGTAAGGGCAAGGGTCAGCACGCAAGACCGCGACCAGGTAAGGGTCACCGCGGCAAGACAAGCAAACAAGTCGGTCCAGACGGACACACCGGCGGCCGAAATGTGGTTGGCGACATGGTGCAGGTAAGCGCCTGAGGTAAGCAGGTGACAACGTGACGGCGGAGGGACCACCGGGAGCAGACAGGCACACGACTCAGTGCAAACGGGCAGGACACGGACGTACGAACCGATGGCTGGTCAGTGCGGGTGATACAATAATATCTTAAGACCTGGCGGCGGAACAGGCACAAAAACAGACAATCCAGGCCAAGCAGCTAGCCACAGAGGCTCGCGGGCGCCGAGTCGGGCCGCGTCGGCCCCCCGCTCCCGCCGTCCGCTGGGAAGCCGGGTCGACAGCCGGTAATTATATGTATGGGCGGCTATTTGGCCGGCGTCCGGGCCAGCGGCCGGCCTGCCACCGACGCAGCGCTGAATCGCGTCCGCCCAGCCAGCGGCGGGCAGGACATTCATAACCAGCGCCGGCAAACGCACGAGGTCACGGGGCGCCGTAGCGCCACTCCGCTGACGAGACGGCCGGAGCCGAAACACAAAATGGAAAGCGGACGGGTCGGCTATCACACCGCCGGGCGAAGAGCGCGACAGGAGGGAGGGCCGCCGCAGGCAATCTGCCTAAAACCCGGCCCGCGGGAGACATGCGGTGGCCTGGCGCGCGCCGGCGGACGGCCGGCTG